TAAGAAGCATGTCTTTGAGATTATCGTTTACCCAATGGCGACGGTGCACGCGGAGGTAGACCAGATTTCAAATCTGTAGCATTAGAGTCTGATTAAGCTTGTGTCCCAGTGCCACTTTCTTCCCCTACATCCATATCTACCAACAAAGCAGAATTATTAGAAGACTTAAAACACATTAGAAAGCAGAATTATTAGAAAAGTTTAACACAAACCTATACAAGCTCATCATATACAATGTAAAGAACATGCAGTGGGGATTGAGGGATGAATGTTACCTTTTTAATGATAAAGACTATACAAATATTTTCATTTTTCTCTTCTATATTTATTTCAAGCTACTGTTTACCTCCCGATATTGAGAAGTGTCCAAACGAGAATACAAGATCATGCTGTCATAACATAAATTGCAAATTGAAGTGGTAACTTTTCAATTGACTGAATTTTGATTTTTCCAACTATTTGTAATGGTAAGCCTTCAATTAACCAACAAAATTTAACTAATAACAGCTAAAATCGACAATATATAGGGCAAATTGATAGTATTTTTATTAATTTCTTATGATAAATTAAAAAATAGAGCAAATGGGAAAAAAAGAGAGAAATGGAGGACAATTTGCCATCCAAAATAGAACACAGAATCTGCAATAATGAAAGAGGCAATGGAAATCAAAGTGACCGTTCTACTTGCTTATTACAACTTAAAACTTAACTGTATTAATTTGACATGAGCTGTAAATTCTCTTTCTATGACATCCCTCCCCTTATTTAAACCTTGCTCCAAGGTTTAATAGTTAGACATGTCTCCTAAATGAACTCTGCATCTTCTTCTGGATTCTTTTCTTCAATTATCCACTATATCTAAAAGACTCATCTTTAAAGGCACTATCTACAAGCTGAACGGCCAAGCAAGTCGCCATTTTCGAGCCGAACCGTTTTTGAGCCTAGCCGCACAAGGTTAGATATTTTCCTATTTTCTCTCCTCCTAGCCCTTGCTCTCACTCTCTCTTCTCTCTTCTCTTGACAATCAACGATTCTCTGCCTTCGTCCTCTCCAACCAAACTACAAGAAATTCACAGACCTAGGTGCTAGCAACTCCAAATCGCTGAAGCCCAACCACTCCGGCCACCTTCTATCGCTGCTCTCCAACCAAACTACAAGAAATTCACAGACCTATGTGTTGGCAACTCCAAGTCGCTGAAGCGCAACCACTCCGGGCGCCTTCTACCGTTGCCCTGTCGAATCCTCCATCCACTGCCTGTCGAAGGAACTGAATGGTATTTTTCCATCCCTCCTCCCTCTCTCCGTGTTAAAATCCATTGTATCCTATCCGACGGGTATGACTTTCCCGAATCTCGAGTCGTTTTCTCCTACAGCCGGAGCTTCAACCTCCAACTGGACCGACGACCCGAATAAGAAGGACCGAAGGCCCTATACCATTACCAAGTTGCAGGAGAGCTGGACTGATCCCGACCACGACAAGTTCCTCGAAGTCCTCCAGCTGTGAGTCCAAACTTGAAAATTTTACGTTTTAGAATTTACATGCTTAAATTCATTGTTTGAAAATACTGGTTTTGGAGTTAAATTCAACCGTGATGCGAATTGGTTGGTGGGTTACGTTATTTTGGGGTTATTGGTTTTGAATTTTTTTTTGTGGATTGAATTTTAAATTGCCACTGATGAATTGTTACATCCAGCTGGT